CCTGCAACCGAATCATCTTCGTCCTCAAACCGATCCTCATCTTCAAGACCAAGCAAACCATGTCTCTGTGGTAGGAACCATATGTGGAAGGAATGCTACTACCTCAATGCCGAGTACCCGAGGCCTGAGGCATGGAAGCCAAGAGATGATACAAAGAAGAAGATTGAGAAGAGATTCAAGGAGGACAAGAACCTGAAAGAGAGAGTGGACAAAGCAATTCAAGCTTACAACGCTGCTCAAGGTCAAGGGTCGAAGGACAAAGAAGCCAAGAACAAGTCAGGTATGACCGCAGAAAGCGAGGACACTGCTGCCGCTGCCACCCTGGAATCGACCCCTGAAGCATCTGTTGGTTCAATTGGCCACCACACCCGCCTTCACAACGCTGTGATTCTGGACGGCGGTGCCAATGTTCACATCATCAATGAGTCCATAAGGGCAAGGATCGTCAGGTCTGAGTTACCAACCTCCTCTAATACAGTAATATCTGGGGACAAGAGGTACCAACCTGAGGCAATTGTTGATGCCACCATCAATCTGGATATAGGTAATGGAGTTACCAGGAAGCTCACTCTTCTCAAGGCAAGGCTCATTCCGGGATTCTTTACAAGCTTGGTCTCACTACAAATCCTTAACAAAAAGGGGATTTACTATGACACTAGAAACTGGCCTGATAGATTGATTACTGGCTAACCTCATAAGGAACCCAGGCTCTGGGCATACCTTACCCCTGAACACAGTGACGACAGACACGGTCACTGGATTATTGAAAGGTTACCTGCAACAGAGAGTGTTGCTGGAACCACTGGAATTGAGGAGGTGAAGTCAATATGCACCCCACACTCTGAGAATGCGGGGAAGTCAACCTCACCTGCCTCAACGTCACCTACTGGATTTACTGCTGCTGCATAATCCAGTTACTAACCACTCCCACCTTTGACAGCAACAGCCAATCAATGGCATCAGTTGCTAGGCCATCTATCTGTGAGGGCTATTGAGAACTTGGAACCTGCAACTGAGGGTTGCTAGGTAATTGAGATGAAACCTGGCCCAGACTATGGCCAAGAGGTTTTGAACAGTGTCACCTGTGACACCTGCTTGCTGGCTAAGGCCAAAGCAGTGATTTTAAGGAGGAAAGACAAGTACAGAGAGGTGCTGCCTGAGGCAGAGAATGCCAAGATGGCTGTCTGTTTATGGGATCTCATTGATATGACCCCTTCTCTCCCTGGACCAAATGGATTGGTCTTCAAGTTTTACAGCCACTGGTACTATGACCAGGAGGGCTATCATGTTGGTGATCCTGTGGCAACCAAGCCACAAGCAATTGCCAAATTTCCAGGACATTTCAAGAAGATGGAAGTGTCCTTTGGTGCCAAAACTATCCTGGTTCGCTGTGATATGGAAGCAACTATGGGAAAGGATGCTGGCAAAGCTATTACCAGGCAGGGGATCAATACTCTACCCACTGCTGCTGGTACCCCTGCTCAGAATGGAGCAAGTGAGGTTGCTGGAAGAGAGATTGTTACCAAATCCAGGACTCTCAGGATTGATGGTCGACTACCAAAGACACTCTGGCTATGGCTTATGGATTCAGCTGTTTACCTACTCAACAGGACCCCTACTGCCAAACTCAATTGGATGACTCTATTTGAGAAAGTCACAACCAAGAAGCCCTTCCTTGGCCATCTCCACCCTATTGGTTGCAAGGCCTTCGCTCTTCGTAGAGACATTGCCAAGAGAGACAAGATGGAAGAGAGAGCTCATATTGGGTACCTGATTGGGTATGCCTCTACCAATATTTTTTGGATCTGGATTCCTTCACTCAATAAGGTGATCAGGACAAGAGATGTGGTCTTCAAGGATAATGAGAGATACAATCCGCTGGATATCAATAGGCAGACACTTGGAGAGTTGGTTCCTGCTGCCATTCACCAGACTGTGATTGACTCAATCTCAATGCCTGAAGAGCCAAATTCTGATGGTTCTATAGATGACCCTTTCCTGGCTACAAATATTCCGACTTTTGCTGTCCAACCTTAGGGAGGTGGTGAACAGCAGGGAGGTGAAGGGCTACAACAGGAACAGGAGTCATTATACCTAACGCCGCCAGAAACACCTGCCAGAGATAATGGTCAGGCCCCGGGGGCCTCACCGGGTACACCCGCTTCTTCATTACCCTCCGCTTTTTCGGTCTCTCATCAGCACCCTGCCTCAGATAGGGAGGTGGAAGAAAGTACCCATTGGTACAGTGTAGACAACCATGGACGATGGATCGACTATGGAATTGGACGGTTGGATGAACTGAGTTCTGCTGCTGCAGCTTCACTCCAAGCCTACACTCCACCCAACCTCAAGGATCCTTATCAAGTGACGAGTTTACTGTCACCCCCTGCCAACTGGAAAGAGATGGAAAGGTATGTCTATCACCAACAGTTCAGGCAAGTAGCATTTGATGAAGCTGGAAAGCTTATGGGCAAGAGGACATTCAGGGTATTCTTTGGTTACAAGGGCCACAAAGTACTATTGGTCTGGGTATTTGCCTACAAAACAGACCTATCAACTGGTGAGATTCTCAGGTACAAGGCCAGACTCTGTGTCCGTAGGGATCTTCAATTGCTATTAACCTATGAAACCTATGCTGCTACACTTGGTTACAAGGTATTCAGGGCCATTACTGCCCTAGCCTTTGCAAGGAATCTGAAAACCCGGCAATGGGATGTAGTGAATGCCTTCCCAAATGCTACCATTCCTCACACTGTGTATTGTTTAATCCCTGAAGGGATGGAGGAGTATGGATTTGGACCAGATGCCTGCTTCATCCTTGAGAAAGCACTCTATGGATTGGCTGAATCACCTCGCCTGTGGTATGACCTGTTTGTTATGAGGATGGAAGACTATGGCTTTGAGCTGGTTCCTGGAATTGACTGTCTGATGGTGAACATGGATCTCCACCTGCTCATGATATTCTATGTGGATGATATCAGGTTGATTTATGAGAGGGACAGGGAGGATCAAGCCATCCTGTTCAACCAGTACCTGCTTTCTAACTTTGAGGTTACTCAGAAAGAGCCATCCTTCTTTCTGGGCACAGAAGTCCTGGAATCACCAGACCAGGAAACCCTGACTATGTGCCAGTCTGCCTACCTAACAAAGATTGGTATCAAATTTGGTGTTCATGAGAGGACTCGATTCCTAGATACACCACTTCCTACTGGAAA